AAATAGTAAATATGAGGAGCCAGCATGGTATAGTAGTTTGAGCATTGGACTATAGCTCTGGAGACTAGGGTCTGAATACCAGTTTGGCCATGAAAACCCACTGGGCAAGTCACACTCTCTCAGCCTCAGAGGATGGCAATGGCAAACCCTCTCTCAAGAAACCTGCCAAGAAAACTGCATGAAAGGTTTGCCTTAGGGTCACCATAAGATTAATAATAATAATAATAATAATAATAATAATAATAATAATAATAAATTTTATTTTTAACCCGTCCCTCTGCTAGGCAACCGTATGGTATGGAAACAACTTGAAAGCACACACAAAAAAAGGAAATATGATAGATGTAATTTACAGAGCAATAACATATTTAAGTTATTACAATGTGAGTCAGAGAAAATTGATTTTAATAGGGGGAAGGAACCAGGAGTTTTTGTTTATTGTTTATCTTATTTTTCCCCATTTTTGTATTATGTGTTCAGTGTTTGTTTATTGTCTTTGTCCTTCTCAGCTTAAGGGCTGAAAAGGATATTAAAATTTATCAATAAAATGTATTTTAAATGTGGCAATGAAAAACTCTGGAAGGCAAATCTTTCCCCAGTGCCATTTCTCTCATCCAAATCCTTCTTCCATTTTCAAGGTGCTATTAGCTCTGCCACAAGAGGAAAAAATACTTCCACAAGAGACAGTGTTTTTTTTCTTTTTTGAAGCTAATTAAAGCTAATTAGAGAATTTCTGGGGCTTGAAGGGAAGGGTCAAGCTTGGAGGAAATAGATCAAGGAAACAGAATAAGAGGAACAGTTCAGTTTTCCACTCTTGGCACCACTGATTCAACCTGACTTGGACCAGCCAGTGACCTGATTTTTGGTCAGGGTAGGCAACTTGTGGACCTCCAGATATTGCTGGACTGCAGTTCCCATGATCCCTCATCATTAGCTATGTTGGCTAGCTATTGGGAACTGCTGGCCAAGAACAACTGGAGGGCCAAAAGTTGTCCACTCCTGATTCAAGTAAAAGGAAAACAACCCCAAACATGGGTATTCTACATCTTAAAACAAATTAAATAATAAAGCCAGTTGTTTAGAGTGGGTGATGTTTTCTCAGTGATAAGGATGACAGATCTCAGCCTGATGCTTCCCACCCCCCCACCCAATAGTTGGGTAGTGTGTGGAAGGTCTGCGCCTAAGGAAGCAACTACAGTTTATATTCAGAGATGCTGTCTACACCAGACTTTTCCAACCTACTGCCTTCCAGTTGGGTTGGAGTACATCTCCTGTCCTCCATAGCCAGCATCAGCCTCTCTCAGGTTGCATGAAGCTGGTCTATACTGATTGGCAGCCTCCCAGCTAGACATAAAATCAAAGAAACAGTCATAATGGATGATATTTAATAATAATAATAATAACAATAATAATAATAACAATAACTTTATTTCTAGCCTGCCCCTCTGCTAGGAAACCGGGGTGGGGTACAACATATTAAACAGGCAACAGTTAAAAAACATTCCCTCAACCCTCTCCCTGGCCCA